GATGCATAAGGACAAACATCCACTACTAGAAATCCCACTTCGACAGTACATAAAGCCCACAAACGTGGCACAATAAGCCCTCAAATGAGGCACCTGAGTTACTAGACAAAAATGGTAAAAGTTCACGAAGGTGGCAACGATAAAAGACCATAAAGGTGGTAATCTGAAAAGACCATTGAGGTGACAATCAGAAAAGACCACAGAGGTGACAATGATAAAAGTCAACAGAGATGACAACGATGAAAGACCACAAAGGTGGCAATAAAAAAAGTCTACGGAGGTGGCATCGATAAAAGACCATAGAGGTGGAAATGATAAAAAACCAAGGAGGTGGCAACAATAAAAGTCCACGGAGATGACAACAATAAAAGTCCACGGAGGTGGCAACGATACAAGTCCACGGAGGTGGCAACGATACAAGTCCACGGAGGTGGCAACAATAAAAGACCACGAAGATGGCAACGACAAAAGTCCATGGAGGTGACAACGATAAAAGACCATAGAGGTGGCAGCGAGAAAGACAACGAAGGTGGTAATCTGAAAAGACCATGGATGTGGCAATTAGAAAAGAACATAGACGTGTCCTATTATTTAGAAGTCCAGGTCTCTATTTGCTAAATCTTGACCTACCTTAGTACATAAGCCAACCAGGATGTCTCACTCGGCCTTCACCTTTGTCGCTTTCACTTCCCTTAACAATAGCAAATTTGAAATAAAAGACAAGAAATGTGAGGACAAGCATGAAGAGAACTTAAAGAGCAACAAGGATTGCTTGAAGTGAAGTAACCATAAAGAAATAATATAAAAGCAAGTTAAAATCATCATCAACTTAGCCAGACCTGCACAAAACACCAGCACCCAAAAAAGTTGGTCGCATAAAAAGCAAAACCTGCCTAAACTCAGCCGCATCAAAGGGAAGCTCGTCTAAAGTCAACAACATTAAAGGGAAGTTTTCCTAAAGTTAACAAGATCTAAGTAAAGTTTGCCTAAAGTCAACAACACTAAGCAAAGCTTGCCTAAAGTTGACAACACCCAACAACGCTTGCCCAAACTGGCAGCCTAGCATAAAGTTTTCCTAAAGTGCGTAACACAAGTCAGAAGGACTATTCTTACATAGCGGATTTTGAACGAGCTTGACCGAAGGGCTAATCCATATACGAGCTCGACTGAAGGGCCACTCAACCTACGAAGCTCGACCGGAGAGCCAATGCACATACGAGCTAGGTCGAATGACCAATCCACATGCAAACTATACAAGTCAGTTGAGGTCCAACCAAGAGATTGGACACGATCATGTATGCCAATCAAACTCTAGAGATGGGGGATGGGGGGTTTATGTTCCTATAGGCACAATAGACATACTAAAGAACACGACCCAACAAGGCCCATTAAACTCATCCACTATGGAACGACCCAAGCCTATGTCTATTTGGGTATAATTAATCTCGACAGTTTGGTATTATAGTTATTATTCATGATAAAATATCATTATGTTATTATTAACTATTTTTTTATTATATACTTGAGGTAAGTATTATTCCAATGATAACATAGGTTCACGAAACATTTGAATCTTATAAATGCAACTAGTATTTGTCAAGGAATATTCACTCAATATCTTATACTAATACTCATAGATCATAAACTCTCTTATTAACTTGAATGTCAAAGAGTCTTTCGCATGTGGATCTCCATCGTATGAATAACAAGGAATCAATTTCTAATTACCAAAAACATTCACTGTCACTATAATCTTGACATATATCCGCATATGTACGCTGATGATTTCAATAAGGTCACATATATGATAGAAGTTATAATCGTCCATCGCATGTGCTTGAAAAACATGTGCTTCAAAAATTATATGTAAAAGAAATAATAATTTTAACATGTGTCTTTCTAGCCTTTTAATACAAAGTTGGTTTCATAAGAGTTAGGTAGTAAAACTACAAGACAGGCCCTACTAGTTTGTCAGGGTAATATAAAACAATGTTTTGTATTGATTAAGAAATGCTTAAACTTTGTTATTTAAGTTGCGTTAATTGTGTGTATAAACTCCATTCTTTCCTCACAAAAATAATAAGGAAGCTCAGACTATTAACAAAAATCATATTTTGTTCTTTAACAAAACACTAAAGAGCAAAAAAGAAACAAGATATAGTGGTTATTTCCCAAAGGTTAACCAAAAGATTAATTTTTTTTTCGGGTACTTTTAATTTTTCTATTATTATAGTAATTATTGATTAGCACGTTGTTTGCAAGTGATACTTTATAATTTGGAATTTTTATTCAAATTATTTCAATGCCGAAAAGATAATGATTAATATATTAAAAAAATAAATACATATTTACAATATTAATTTAAATAATGAATTAAAGATTTTATTTTTTATCATCAAACCATTTTATTACTATTAAACAACTTAAAATGTTGCAAATTTTAAATCACAAGTTTCATTACACAAAACAAATCGAATTTTTTAACAATACTATAATATAGAAAAAAAACACATAATTATAACATATAAGTTTATTACAAACTTAATCACAACTTACTTTGATATATTATTGCATATATATTACATAATTTACTTAATAAAATTATCAAAATCGATATAATATTTGATAAGTTTGTAAAACGTTTTTAATTTTAATTAATACATTTATTCAATAAAATGTTTACAAATGTCATTAGAGCAAAACTAAATACATTTATTCAATTTTAAATTATATATCACACTTAATAAAAATATTAATATCGTACATCAATTATTACAAATAAGATATTCCACTAAGTTTAATTTAGTAAATAGGTATATATTATTTCATATTTTATATAATTAAATTAGTAAATGGATTTAATTATAAATGCACTCTCATCATTAATTTAAATCAATATTTAAATTCTTAATTTTCATTATTATATTTTCTAACAAAATCTCAATGTTTATTACATTTAACAATGTATTTAAATTATTATAAAAAAATTAAATATTATAAAATGTTGTAAAATATTAACTATTTTTATTATTGTAGTTTTTAATTTCTAAATTTTCTATAATTTTATTCTTCAAGACATAAAATATTAAAGTTAGAATTTGTTTTTGAATTTGGAGTTATCTTTTTTAATAATGAATGCAAATGAAGGTTAGAATCCATTCCCATAAACAACAAAGTATGCTATTTAAATAAATATTATGAAATTCAAAAGATTGCATGATTACATATGGTTGGTGACTGCATGACCATTATCTTGAAAATGAGTCAAACATTTGATTGGTACAATATGACAAACTAGTTAAGTTGATTATAAATAAGTTAGAAAAGTAGTTGTAACATATTTTTATTTCACTTTACTGTTCATTCAAATGTATTGAAAATTATAATATTAGAAAGAAACCACTGTATGACGAGATTCACTAAAAAATTATTTTATTAATTTTAACTAATGATAGAGAACACGTTCAAAAGAATACAATACATCGTGTTACGGGTATTCTCTTCTAACACAATGTATAATCATATTCTACTCCGAAATAATTTTAATATTACACAGATAAAGATAAAAAGATAAACATAAACAAGTTTTGCTAAAGTCAAATTTTAGTTTATATATAATTTAAAAATACAAAATAAAAAGAGAAATTATATAATAAAACTTTTACCAATGACTGTTTGCATAAACTAATTTTAATATATATTTTACTTAAAAATAGTAATGAATGATTATCATAAATTTATTTATTTTTCTTTATCCAACTATATACGCAAGTAATCATCTAGTCATTTGATTCGTGAACTAGTGCTATTGTTGATAAAAACAAAATTAGAAAAATGATTAGTTTATTCTTTTATTAGTTTATTCTTTATCTAATTTTGTTTTTATCTAATTTTTCTTTTATTAGAAAAATTAGATAAAAAATATTTTTCTTCCTCAAGGTGTGTTGCTCCCTCCAACACACCTTTCTTCCTCCACCTCTCCAATTTATTTTAATTCCAAATATATCCTCAGAATAAAATTTTTTACTTTTATTATTTTAATTTATTTCAAACCTAGTTCTCCTACTTTACTCCTACACCCAATCTTTCCATCTCTAATTTTAGTATAATAATTTGTCTTTCGTTTTACTCTACAACCCAATATGTCTTCTACGTTTCACTTCTCCTCCTACGTTTCTTTCTTCTTCATTTTCCTTACATTATTAAAATAAATTCAAAAATAATAAATCAAAACATTTAAATTAAATTATTAAAATATTTCCAAAATAAATAATAAACTAATAAAAGAAATCCTAAAATAAAAAACGTAACTTTTAAACGGAGGTGACATCCTTTAACGGATGTCAACATCCGTTTAAGGTAAAACGAATCCGTTTTACCTTAAACGGAAGTTGACATCCGTTGAAGGATTTTGACATCCGTTGAAGGATTTTGACATCCGTTGAAAGATTTTGACATTCGTTGAAGGATGTCTTAAAGGTTACGTTTTTTATTTTAGGGTTTTATTTGAAGGTTTATTTGAATACGCACCTTGAGGAAGTAACACACACTGCACTACGAGAGCCACACTGCACCACGAGAGGGAGACTACTTGATAATTCTTTCCACCACCACCAACCTTTGCAACTTGTAAAAGAAAGAGAGGAAGAAATATAATGTTAAAATGAAAGAAAAATATTTTACTCATAGTGAGATAGGTTGTGAATGGGTAAAATTAAAAAATAACTCTAAAAGTAAAATTTTATTTAGGGACAAAATAGTAAATGAAAGGTGGAGGGAGAAAGTATGGTGGTGGAGGGAGCAACACCCAACGTTTAGGTATGAACCCAACTGAGAATGCCTCTTCTAGTTTTTAATGTTAGTGATTTTTTTTAGTTTCTCGCTAATAGTATGATTAAAGTTAGTAATTTTAAGTTAGGTACAAACTCCTTTTCTCCCTCCACCAAAACAACAATAAATAAATAAAAAAATTCAAATATTAACAAAAACGTTTACAACAAAATTTCCGTGTATAAAATATGGAGAACCCTACAAGACAGAAATAGTAAAAAGAAATAAATAAATAAAATTCTACAGCTAAATGTTGTCAAAATAAACACTGCAGAAAAAGTATGGGCTTTGTATTCTTCATTAGTCCATTACCACCTGCGTTCACTATATGGGCCTTGTAGCCAAGGATGGGGCTCCGGCCCAAAATGAGGGTAAGCATGCACCGGAGGAGGCTGGGGAGGATATGGATACGCAACCTGCGGGGGTGGCGGTGGTTGTGGGTAATTGAAATTATACTCTCCGTACGACGGAAGCATAACCGGCGGCGGTGGAGCAGTTGCCGGATAGACGGGACACCCCACCGGCATCGCGACCGCTGGGTAGCAGAACGTGTTCTCAATTTCGCACGTGGGATATTGTACCCTATTGGAAGCGCACGCGCAATCCTCCGGTGCCAGAACAGGGTACCCTGAGATTCTCCCTTCAAGAAACTGCGACGATTGCGTTCCGCTCACACTCCCACTCCAATTTCCAATCCCAATGCCAAACCCAATCAATTTGTACGAGAAATTGAAGATACCATTGGGCTTTCCCTCGGGGGATCGAACCTCGTAGCTCACGAACCTCGCCGTGCCGGCGGCAGCATCGCGGATCAGATCAGAGAACGCCACGCGGCATTCGCCGACGACTTTGTCCCCGAGGATGACGCCGTCGTGGCGGAACTCAAAGCAGAGGAAGAGATCATCATAATCGGAGTGGCGTGGCGAGCGCGATAGCCACCCCAAATCGAAACGTGCGTAGTTGTTCCATTCGGGGTTGGTGCCATCGCCGTCGCCTTCTCTGTGCGTTAGGGTTCGCTGTCGCTGCTTCCTTTCCTCCGTCATTTCCGTCTTCGGATCCTCGCTGTCGATGAAGACGGTAGCGTAAACTGTGAGCTTTTGGAAAAAGTTGAAGGCTCTGAGGTCCTTACACGAAATGAGTTTCACCTCCATGCATCTTTGATCTGGTTCCATTGTTTTCTGATTTTTTGGGGTTTAGAAAAATTTTAACGTTGGAATGAAAATTTGATGCGATCTTAGGTTTTATCGATGTATTTGTGCGCGGATTCAACGAGAAACTTCGCGAGAAAACTAATCTTCAATGTTTATTTTGTTAAATGTCATGTCCCGTAGTAGGCTTGAATGGAAGGTTCTCTCGGCGTTCCATTCACGTTTGTGCTAATGTACCGTGTCTGTCGTCCCGACATGCGCGTGGATATTTAATGTAAGAGTGATTAAAAATTAATTTTTAGAAAATATAATCATAGTCCATCGTTCATATAATTTAATTTCGGATTAAATATGTTTTAGTTATTAAATTTGATGTAATATTAATTTTTTTTTATATTTTATATTTTAATATATTTTAATTTTAAAATTTAAAAGTACATAAATATAGATATTTTAAATCCAATTACTTTGAAGCTTTTGAATATATGGAAGGAGTTTATATTAATATTTAAATTCTTTAAATTATTGGAAATAACAATCTCAATTAATAAATGAATTTGATATTAAGTTAAAAGAATTAAATTTATTATTTTTAAAGTTTGGAGGTAAACTATATTAAAATTTTAAAATTTTTAAAGAAATGAATTTTAATTTCATATAAAAGTTTAAAAACTTAAAACATATTTAACTCGATAATTTTTATTTTTAATTTATCGTTCAAATCTTTTATAATATCCTTAATATTAAAAAAAAAATTAGCAAATTTCCAGTTAGAAATTATCTAAACATAAAAATAAGTTTTATGTTGGATAGAAAAAATAAAGTTAAATATTACATGTTGGAGTCAAGTTACATTTATATAATTTTACTTATGTTGTGTTCGTATGCATGGATAGTATTATTCAAACATATTTGTGAAGATGGAATTACGAGATATACCATGATCGTTTTCATCGATTTAGAAAGATTGAAAAGCGATGATTTGCGGGATCACTAAAAATTCACTCCTTCTCATTTTATGCAGATTTGAAACGATTTGCAATAAAATTTCTATTTTATCCTTATGCAATAATTACATAGAAGAGAGAACTGAACACATTGTCTTCCATGCATAAAAGTGTATTCGCTTCCAAATATAAAATCTAATAAAATTGTTATAGATAAAAAAGTTTTCTTTTTTGAAATCTTAATTTAGTTAACCATTTAAGTATTCATCTATGCGCAATTTTTTTCTTTTAAAAAGTCTTAGTTTAATTTTCTTTTTCTGTAATAATTCTTGTCGTATTATTTTAAATGTTTTTGAATTTGAAGCTTTATTAGATAACGTAGTAAATTTTATAAAATTAACATGATTAAATAATACAAAAGTGTATATTATATAATGATGGTTTATGTGGATGAAGTTTATTTGCAATTATTTTTTGTGTTGGTGAAGTTTAAAAAAAATAATTTCACTTTACTTAATTTTTTTATTAATTTTTTTGTTTTTAATATTTAAAATTCATTTCATCAATAAATATATTATTAATAAATATAATTGTATATTACTTTAATAACTAGGGGTATTTTGGTAATCTTCAATTTCTATCAATTAAATAAAATTTTTTTATCTGTCACATCAATAAAATTCTACACTAATTCTCATAAACTTTACTTTCAAATCCATTCTCATTTACCTCCAAATCCACTCAAACAAACAACAATCCCGCAATTCCTCTCCCTCAAAATGAATACCTTATTAGAAGAAAAAAAATGAGTGAATAATTTATCTTTGTGACATTATGATTACAACAATAATACAATGAAATAAATCACATTTATATAATATCTTCGTAATGATAATTTTAGGAAAAATTTGATCATTTATTTACTTTAACTAGTAGAATTGATTAAGTGATTTAAAAGAAAAGATTGTGTATACACAACCTAACCAATAAAAAGTAATTTCCACACTTTATAAATAGCAAACAACTAAATATTATCAATTGTCCTTTTTCATCCTTAATGTAAAACCATCTGTTAAATGTACTTTTGTAAATACATTTTTAATCTTATCTTATTCAGGTTTACTTAAACTATAAACGTATTTTTTTATATTTGTGTTGAGCGAATTTTTTAAAAAATATATACATATAAATTTACCATTTTTGAAATATTTATAGTTAAATTAAATATAAATTACATTGAAAAAAGTTTATTACACTTTTTTTTATCTTGTTTTAAAAGAATTTATTATGATTTTCACTAGTTCTCATAGTAATAATAGTTCTATACAATACTTATATATAAAATGTACAAACTTAAAAAAAATACAATAAAAAATAAAGTACTTCCTTTATTTTGAAAATATATATATNGTACAAACTCCTTTTCTCCCTCCACCAAAACAACAATAAATAAATAAAAAAATTCAAATATTAACAAAAACGTTTACAACAAAATTTCCGTGTATAAAATATGGAGAACCCTACAAGACAGAAATAGTAAAAAGAAATAAATAAATAAAATTCTACAGCTAAATGTTGTCAAAATAAACACTGCAGAAAAAGTATGGGCTTTGTATTCTTCATTAGTCCATTACCACCTGCGTTCACTATATGGGCCTTGTAGCCAAGGATGGGGCTCCGGCCCAAAATGAGGGTAAGCATGCACCGGAGGAGGCTGGGGAGGATATGGATACGCAACCTGCGGGGGTGGCGGTGGTTGTGGGTAATTGAAATTATACTCTCCGTACGACGGAAGCATAACCGGCGGCGGTGGAGCAGTTGCCGGATAGACGGGACACCCCACCGGCATCGCGACCGCTGGGTAGCAGAACGTGTTCTCAATTTCGCACGTGGGATATTGTACCCTATTGGAAGCGCACGCGCAATCCTCCGGTGCCAGAACAGGGTACCCTGAGATTCTCCCTTCAAGAAACTGCGACGATTGCGTTCCGCTCACACTCCCACTCCAATTTCCAATCCCAATGCCAAACCCAATCAATTTGTACGAGAAATTGAAGATACCATTGGGCTTTCCCTCGGGGGATCGAACCTCGTAGCTCACGAACCTCGCCGTGCCGGCGGCAGCATCGCGGATCAGATCAGAGAACGCCACGCGGCATTCGCCGACGACTTTGTCCCCGAGGATGACGCCGTCGTGGCGGAACTCAAAGCAGAGGAAGAGATCATCATAATCGGAGTGGCGTGGCGAGCGCGATAGCCACCCCAAATCGAAACGTGCGTAGTTGTTCCATTCGGGGTTGGTGCCATCGCCGTCGCCTTCTCTGTGCGTTAGGGTTCGCTGTCGCTGCTTCCTTTCCTCCGTCATTTCCGTCTTCGGATCCTCGCTGTCGATGAAGACGGTAGCGTAAACTGTGAGCTTTTGGAAAAAGTTGAAGGCTCTGAGGTCCTTACACGAAATGAGTTTCACCTCCATGCATCTTTGATCTGGTTCCATTGTTTTCTGATTTTTTGGGGTTTAGAAAAATTTTAACGTTGGAATGAAAATTTGATGCGATCTTAGGTTTTATCGATGTATTTGTGCGCGGATTCAACGAGAAACTTCGCGAGAAAACTAATCTTCAATGTTTATTTTGTTAAATGTCATGTCCCGTAGTAGGCTTGAATGGAAGGTTCTCTCGGCGTTCCATTCACGTTTGTGCTAATGTACCGTGTCTGTCGTCCCGACATGCGCGTGGATATTTAATGTAAGAGTGATTAAAAATTAATTTTTAGAAAATATAATCATAGTCCATCGTTCATATAATTTAATTTCGGATTAAATATGTTTTAGTTATTAAATTTGATGTAATATTAATTTTTTTTTATATTTTATATTTTAATATATTTTAATTTTAAAATTTAAAAGTACATAAATATAGATATTTTAAATCCAATTACTTTGAAGCTTTTGAATATATGGAAGGAGTTTATATTAATATTTAAATTCTTTAAATTATTGGAAATAACAATCTCAATTAATAAATGAATTTGATATTAAGTTAAAAGAATTAAATTTATTATTTTTAAAGTTTGGAGGTAAACTATATTAAAATTTTAAAATTTTTAAAGAAATGAATTTTAATTTCATATAAAAGTTTAAAAACTTAAAACATATTTAACTCGATAATTTTTATTTTTAATTTATCGTTCAAATCTTTTATAATATCCTTAATATTAAAAAAAAAATTAGCAAATTTCCAGTTAGAAATTATCTAAACATAAAAATAAGTTTTATGTTGGATAGAAAAAATAAAGTTAAATATTACATGTTGGAGTCAAGTTACATTTATATAATTTTACTTATGTTGTGTTCGTATGCATGGATAGTAATATTCAAACATATTTGTGAAGATGGAATTACGAGATATACCATGATCGTTTTCATCGATTTAGAAAGATTGAAAAGCGATGATTTGCGGGATCACTAAAAATTCACTCCTTCTCATTTTATGCAGATTTGAAACGATTTGCAATAAAATTTCTATTTTATCCTTATGCAATAATTACATAGAAGAGAGAACTGAACACATTGTCTTCCATGCATAAAAGTGTATTCGCTTCCAAATATAAAATCTAATAAAATTGTTATAGATAAAAAAGTTTTCTTTTTTGAAATCTTAATTTAGTTAACCATTTAAGTATTCATCTATGCGCAATTTTTTTCTTTTAAAAAGTCTTAGTTTAATTTTCTTTTTCTGTAATAATTCTTGTCGTATTATTTTAAATGTTTTTGAATTTGAAGCTTTATTAGATAACGTAGTAAATTTTATAAAATTAACATGATTAAATAATACAAAAGTGTATATTATATAATGATGGTTTATGTGGATGAAGTTTATTTGCAATTATTTTTTGTGTTGGTGAAGTTTAAAAAAAATAATTTCACTTTACTTAATTTTTTTATTAATTTTTTTGTTTTTAATATTTAAAATTCATTTCATCAATAAATATATTATTAATAAATATAATTGTATATTACTTTAATAACTAGGGGTATTTTGGTAATCTTCAATTTCTATCAATTAAATAAAATTTTTTTATCTGTCACATCAATAAAATTCTACACTAATTCTCATAAACTTTACTTTCAAATCCATTCTCATTTACCTCCAAATCCACTCAAACAAACAACAATCCCGCAATTCCTCTCCCTCAAAATGAATACCTTATTAGAAGAAAAAAAATGAGTGAATAATTTATCTTTGTGACATTATGATTACAACAATAATACAATGAAATAAATCACATTTATATAATATCTT